TATCAATAGAATTGTTACAGAAATATTTAGATATGCTTAAATGTAAAATATATATTTATTGCAACATATTGATTGTTAACATTTCTAATTATTAACATTCCTGTGGAAGGGCAACGGAACAGTCTTCACTGTAGCAAGAATGGGCTGGTCTATCTGGGGAAGTACCACGACCTCACAGAAGACCGTCATGAAGTGGAAATGTTAAACTTCTGTGTTTCGTCTGGTGAGTGTGGTAACCGGGGCACACTTTATTAAAAGGTGGCAACACATCGGCCACCCTGCAGGTGTTGCAAATGTCCATGGGCGCCCGCTTACCATCTTCTGACATAAAAATAATTAATTTTAATTTTAGTCCCAGTCTCTGCACTTAAGACTAAACTTACTATCTCCAGATAAATTGACGAAAATATTTTCGCCGGAGCCAGAATTTGAATCTATGCCTTCCTGGTAACACGCTCAGACATTCCAACTACTAGGCTAAGCGGTCGATATCTTCACTGTGTGAAAAACAAAATCTGTATTAAATATTTTATCCATGATTTTAGAACGATGGAATCAAATTAAACTAGTGAGAAAACTATACCTGTAACACATACATCATTAATGAAATGATTATGTGTTAAAAAAGACGTTTTTGAATCTAAAACAAAATATAAAAAAGTGTAATGTTTTATAATTGGAAATCCCGCCATTATGGTATTAAAGCAAGTAAATCACTAAAATCCATTCGATTTAAATGAATAATTGAAAACACAAATTAAGTGAACACTGCCGATTTTAATTACAAGTAGACTTACTAGACAAATTCGTGGACTCATTCGAGAAAGACAGATTGGGAGCGGGCGATCTATATTCTAGCCCCGATACGCGCCGGCATCAGCGCGTGAACAGACAGAAGCCTAGAAGATACCAGGGCTATCGCGGGGGCGGTGGCGCAGACATTCGCGACCGACTTAATTACCGTTCCCCGTTCAGCAGACACGCCTGAGCACAGGGCTGGTCACCCTTGTAGTCCCGGACTCATAGAATATTACTAATGTATCCCCTGCCTGTCATAAAAGGCGACTTAAAGGGTATCAAGAACTTAAAAGAACCCAAAGTTCACAGACTAGTAGCAGTGCGAAATGCCCTCGTGATGTTGCAACACGATTGGCGTAGTGGGTAGTATACCTGCCTCTTGCGCCAGAGGGTGTGGGTTCGATCTCCACTACTGGAAAAATATTTTGTGATGAACATGATGTTTTTCCAGCGTCTGGGTGTTTATATCTGTATAATATGTATATATTTAAAGAAAAGTATGTTTATCAGTTATATAGTACCCATAGTACAAGCGTTGCTAAGTTTGGGACTAGAGAACGTTGTGTAATGATCTGTCCTAAAAAAATCCACAAGTCCGTTCAAACGTACAGAAGATGGCCAACAAGTGCAAGGGCGACAGCAAATAAGCTTCTCCAATTGTTCACATGCTAATTCATGGTCTTAATGGACTCATGACTCGCATTGACATTGCATTAGGCGCACGAAACTCGATTGGCGTGGGTTCAATCATCGCTACAGGAAAAATATGTGAAAAAATGTTTATTATTATTATTATTATTTATTAGTATTATATTGGGATATTCCAAAATTCAGAGAATAACATTTTATTACATACTACATTTAATAAAGAATGAGTGAACGAGTAGCAGGATGATTATAATACAGGTTATATAATATATAAAACAGGATTTGCGCTAAATATCTTAGTATTTTTAAGTAGGATATAGCAATCAAACGAATTAATCCCACGGTTGTCATGTCATGTATAATGGGTGGGGGTAAACACATTGAGTAAATGTGACAAAATGTGTAACTATTTTAATAGCAAATAGTATCTCTTCTTGAAGGTTCTTTAATTGCTTGGTCAGAAAATACTGCTATTGACAACTGGTCCTACAAAATGGTCAGGCGTAGTAGATAAATTCTCAGAAGGCGCATGATGATGGGCTAGTATCTATGAATTCAAGGAATTGGCATAATTTTTAAATAGCTCGTCCCATAACACTATATAATTCGATTGCAGGATAAGCCAAATGATTCCGTAGAACACTCTTAATTGTATACACGATATTAAACCTGACTAAGACATAGAGTCTGTGAAAAGGCAGCCTTCAAGTCAGATTGCGCTTATCTTTATATTTAGGTTCCATCAATTATATCCGATTAAAGCCTCATTCAAAAACATACAAATGTATATACAGATTTCCCCCTGCCTATGGTTTAAAACATTAACAGATCAGTATAAATATCAACTACTGCTTATAGTTTAATAAAATTTCATTTCAGAACTATATCCTACTACTGAGCGAATCAATACAGCTAAATTTCCATAGCCATTCGCACTCCTAGCAATAGCGGGAAACTCAACAGTATCCCGAGCGATAAAACCGAACAATGCCCACACAAATCAAACAGGATTTCCAACACGCAGTCGGTCAAAGTTGTGCATACCGTACGCCGAGCATTTGCATGGAGCAAACTAGACCTGCGTGTCGACGCCCACGACACAGTGCAATACCGCGCAGTGTGCAATCATTCCACGTATCGGCATCGCATTAAGCCCTGTAGGCCCCGCACAATGCAGATTTCCACACGCTTCGTAAAAACTGACGCCTTTTTCGTTTGTCGCTTGCCGTCGTGCGAATAAACTTACGGCAATATGTTCCCGAACGATGAACGATTTTTTTTATCATCTGCCCCTGTTAAAATGTTTTTCTCAATAAAACATGAAAAAAGAATAAAATATTCAGGACATTCAAATGGGATTTACACATGATCTCGGAATTAAGACCAGTTACTCGATATTGTTTCAAAATATTATATTGTCTGCATACCATGCCATTATACCTGCATACCATGATCATATCTTATCTTTTTTTTTATGCGGAAAGTTTTCAGACGAGCAGACGGTTCACCTAATGTTAAGTGAATACCGCCGCCCATGGACATCTGCCACACCCGAGGATTACAGATACGTTGACAAATTTTTTGAAAATTGGGCTCATCATACTGGCATATCATATCCAAGTAGAAACTATATATTTCGAAAGTCAAAATATTCTCTTAAGCCTAAATTGTGAGTTTTCTCCCAAATATGTGGAAATTGCAAATATTTTGATTTTAAAAGCAATTTATTATTTTTTTTCTTTCAATTGTCCGTTTAAAAGATAAGTAGCAAAAAACAGAGTAAGATTCAACGTCGGTTTTATGGAACTTTTTAATGCTAAATGTTCTTAAAGTTAATTAAATAATTATTGCCAAACACTAATGGCTAATTATGGACAAACACAAAAATAAAACTTTCCCTAAGTATACAGCGTGTCGTTACCATCGCGACAATAAATGAACACACGTCTAACGCTACTTGCCAATAATCATAAAAAAAATCCATAATTAAAAAGTAATATTTTCCAAACAACCTTATTAACTATATAAAATAGAAAAAACATTTGTAACACCTATACAACTACAACTCACTGATTCATGCGTTCAGAGACAGAGTTCATTCGTTGCCACAGTGTCGCAATACAAGCCTCTCCTTCTAACAGTATGTTTTGTCTCTTTATATTTATATGGTTTGTGACCTTTACAAATGAACTTTACGTTACAGTTTTATACGTAAGGCTGTTCTAAAATTCTTTGTTTAGGAAAATTTTATAACTCTGTAAATATTGATGTTTAAAGAATGTAAATGTTTAATACAATTACATTAAAAAGTTATCCTCTATATGTGTGTTCATTTATTGTTGCGATTGTAAAGACACGCTGTATAATATAATTATAAAAAATTAAAATTATTCTAAATGAAATATAATCTGACCACAAATACTGTTACTCGAAGTTTTTTTTAGGAAGTAGAGAACAAATATTAATTTCACGCCGCACGTGATTTACCTTCGATAAAATTATCTCGCCTTAAGTACACGATGGACTATATTCCATTACTCGAACTTCTGTTACAAACATATTACTCCAAAAATTGGCATTTTCTCTTTTGGCTAGCCATTATAATAAATTTGGATAAGCTATTAAATGATACAGTAGACGTGCACTATAAGTTAGGATATTAAGATTTATTTCATATTGACTTCACTTTTGCAATTTAAATCAAAATTGAATTAAAAATATGATTTACTGTACTATACTTACTTTACTTAACTCTAGTTTTAAAATTAATTGTTCCACGGTCAGCCTAGTCTAATATTTCTGTATAGTATTCGATCTCAGAGTCATAACTTAATGTATTTAATTTCTTTTTTAATCCATGTTACACAAATTTCACCATCGATTATTGGGCAACCGATCGCCAAGACTAGACTAAGTTGAGCCTCTACGCTAATTAAAAAAGGAGTAAGTATTCGAACTAATTTGACGTTACAAGCATTTTTACTAAGTACAAAGAACAAGTTTCACGGTGGCAGGGCCATGCAGTAGATTCTTCGGTTGCACGAATGGGCAGGCTTATCCTGGGAAGTTCCACTGCCTCACAAAGACCGGCGTGAATTTTAAGTACGTATTATACTTTCGCGTTTCGCCTGTTGAGTGAGGTAGCCCCCACTTTTTTAATGTTGGCAACACATTCGCAACCCGTCGGGAGTTGCACATGTACGTGGATGGCGGTGGCCGTCTGCTCGCTTTCAAATTTGTCACTTAAAAAAAAGCGAAGGGAAAATATTGGATTGGGTAGTCAAACAATGGTTAGGTAGTAATAAAAAAATATGTTTGTTGGTATTCGAAGATGACATCTGGCTGCTCTACTCTAGCCTTCTGTCATCTATGAGGTGGAGTAAAGCTTGGGAACGCCCGTACCCTCCCTCGTGGAAACAATGTCACCGAGGCGACATTAATTTACCGTCAGTCGAAACGGATATTCCGTTTGCCAAGGTCTCTCATAAAAAAGAAATGTCCATGCGGGCCGTTGGAAAGCGTTAACTTTGTCTTGCATGTTATGATGATTATTACTCGTAAGTGCACCCAATTAGCCTGATGCCGGTGCGTTGACATTCTCGTATCGTGATCGGTCGATGGGTAAGCCGATCGCATCGCAGCCGCCACCCGACACCGCCGGATCGCCTGTCGGCGACGATACAGCACGGGGCCTTGGGATCGCGCTTACGGAATACGCGTCTCATGCGTATCGGGTTCGAGCCAGCGTTCTTCTGAAATCTGAGCGAAGCATCGCTAATCATGAGCCGAAATCGCGACCGCAGAACGTAAAAAAAATGTTGGTTCGTTTCACACAGATAGTTAGCGTACAATGTATTTTATTGTACATCGTACATTTTGCGTTATCTGTGAGTAACAGTATAAATAATAATTTCAGATAGTTAGGCAAAAATAGTTTTTCCTACAATGCATATCTGAAAACACGCTTTAATGAAGCGCTTCTGCTGTTGTCTGTATTTTTATTACAAAATCATTACTATTATAAATCTTCTTCTTTCTTCTCCTTCGTGGTCTTCATTATTGTAGGTCGTGTCCGTCCTGAAAATCAAAAACGATTACAAGTAGCAACCCAAGAATTATTCAAAGCTAACTTCAATAATACTTGAGTTACTTTCAATTTTAGTTTTTATTCAAAAGACATTCTACAAATACCACCAGTTGTTGCATATTGCAAAATTTTAAAAAGTAAAGAAACTGAACTGAGAAAATTGAAAACGAATCTGGAAACCGTGGATCAACTCAGTCGTGTACTCTAACCACTGATCTCTCAGCACAATTAGGAAAGTGAAACCAACAATAAAACCACTCGATTGTGTCCGATTTTTAATAGTACATCTTTCGCTATCGGAGAACAACAAATGCAGAACTTAACGTTCTCTCCATGTGTTTTTTTTTTACCAATACCGAACAAATAAGCCGACGTGTAATTTTATGTGCATAGATACGTGTTTAAAAACAAAATGTAAATAGCTTCCTAGTACGTAGATCTGGTTCTCGGTGTCGTCCCTTGTAATTATGTCTCAATATGAACCACGCCTAATGAATATACACGTAATTGGTCTACCTATTCGCAATAGCGGAAGCCCCGCGCACATAATATGACATCAGATGTACTCGTACACGATATAAGTATTTGTATCAATACCAATAATAATATACGAATCGCGAAGTGAGCAGATTGACGGTTTTAATTTGCTTTAATTTTTTTCTGTCACATAATCTGATGTTTGAAGAGTGTTAAAGGATGAATAGTGGAAAATATGGACGAGCATTTGCCAAAGGACAGACCAACGAACGTTGTTGATATCATCGGCACAACAGAGTCGTTTAATCTGAGTCTTTTATTAAGTCTATAATTTTCTAAATAGTTTTTGTGTCTGAATAAAGGCTATTATTAATATAATGGGGCGCTAGTTATTTGTTTATTTATTATTATTATAATCTGATGTCAGATAAGCTCCATTATCAAACCTATGCTCATAAGCTTTGTTATATATAATTTAAAAAATTCTCAACGCTCCATACTGCATACGCACATATCATGAGCATGCTACGCATGTATTGCGAAAAAAGTTCACGTCTAAATACATGGATGCATAAGGATAGAGCAATTTAGCAACTTCCAGAGTGCTACAAAGACTAAATGAAAATTCGAATACTCATGGTACAGGCGATTTCGAAATTAGGTCATTTGCTATTGCAGAGCCCTTCATATTTTTACCAGAATTTATGTGCATACCTCACTTCTTCAATTTAAGTGAAAAAGGTTTCTAATGTTTGATTCAGGCAGAGAGGGTTTTTGTGGCTATGACTCTATCTGCTATACTCCTTGCTAGACATCAGTCTAGGGTCCAAATTCCATAGCATTATCATTTACTTTATTTGGATTTCTTAGGTATGTACAAAAACAGCATAGCTTGTCATATATGACAATACATTTGTTACGAATTATGGATAAGGCATCGAAAACTTATTTTTATAAGCTTCGCATCATACCTTTGTTCAAGGACGCAAACCATAATAAAATAATCTAATTATACAATTTCAAGGTCATAGAACTGTCGCCGTTCAATCAAAATAAAATTTTCGACCATTATATAGATATAGAGATATTTTAGCATTCCATATTCAAATCGTACGAACGATGCAATGCCTTTCAAATTTTCCGGCCAATTGTAGCACTGGCGGTTGGGACGTCACTAAAGTGGCACAGCAATGCCCGACATTGCGAGTATTACGCGGCACAAAGGCTCCGTTGCATGCGAAGGTTCGAAGGCATTAGCCCGCCGAGCTTTGATAACGGCGCGGGCCGCCTTATCACCGCGCCCGCGTCCACAGCGCAGTCGCCACATTCACTCGGATTCTACCGCGGCCGAACCACCCTGGTACTTACGTGATCTTTATTTCTTTTGACTCGCGCCGCGGCAAATCTACGATTTCTCGAGGCAGACGCTACGACTGAAATCCAAACTAGTTATTATTGTTTTTGAACGAAGAAAGTTGGTGTCTGTGCCTACTAAGGGGCAGGCATAAATGTATATATTTATATTATTAGTTTTATTAATTTTATTGTGAAAGTAAGTAATTTTACGTGCCGTTGTTAAATAATAATTGTATTAATGAACATCTGAAGAAGATTTTGATTCGAATCAAAGTGTTAAAACTATTAACAATTTGTGACTTACTCACAGTTTGTTAACAGTTTGCATTTGAATAAACTAAATTTCGTGACCACTCGAAGTTTTTGTTTTATGCAGATGAACATCACACTAATACCGTTATTTATTATAAAATAATTACGTACACAATATATAATCAACACAATTAAATCAAAGAACTTCTTTAAGTTTTCATTAAGTTTTACTTCGAAAACGTGAAATGTGGACATAATTAGCTGGCCTTATCTAAACTATTAGGGACGATAAATATAATTGAAATCTTGTAATTTAAGCAATTTTTTTTATAAACGATCAAAACGCTGTAGTTGCAGTCTACAGCCAGAGATCATGCGATGCTTGACGCTGGAGTCAAGGAGAGCGGCCGGCGCCGACCACGCCCGCGCTCTCCCCGCGCCCCTACCACCGACCCGCGAACCACTTCATACAAACTTTACCAGCACATCGACAGAGTCAATTGTTATTCATTCTGTATCCTGCTTCGATTATACCATTATCAGTCGAGCGACGTTCTGAATTAACCGATGAGTGAAGAGCAGATGTTTTATGGCAATTTTACATATAAGTGCATTATTCTTTACTGAAAGCGATTTCATCATAAAATATAGACAAAGAAGACAATACAGTATATTTTTACGATGACATCGTCATCTTCGGGCTAAATTTTAGATTTTACTTTTTTATTATATTTATTACTAGATTTATTGAATAACTAATTCTGCATTTCATAATCTCTCATCGCCATCTTTGATTGATAAAATTATTAATAATTACGAAATAAGTAAACGTTACTTAGATAACCCACCAACACCGACGGACAGATCCGCGATTGTTTCGCAGTAATTTACACATTAATTATTAAATCAGATCACCTTCTTGACATCACGGATCTGTCTTGTACTCGACATCGATAGGCTTTTCCGGCTGACCAAAGCGGATATCTATTAAAATTAATTACACGGTTAATTATGAAACAATGACCAAACGTCGATGCCGTTAAGAGCTTGTGTTTAGATAGATGATTTAATTATAACGCATTATTTAAATAGAACGTAATAACGGAATAAACTAATTTTAAAAGAATAATACTCTAAAATATTTTAAAGCGGAATTATCAACATGAAAACAAAAGAAGGAAACGATTAAACCGAGTAGCCCAATATCTTGGGCTCGTCAAAATTTGTGCCATTACGTTGTTACAGCTCCGTGTTGTATTCGTATTCACCACTTCAAACAAACAATTAGTATGAAATGAGCGGAATTACTCGAGACGACACCGCTTCGTCGAATAAAATTAAGCTATAAAACTTAACGATACGATCTCGCGAAAATATGGATCCCTGCACATAAATTACCGTATTACATGTATTTGGTGCAGTGGAAGGCCGTCGAAAGGGGCGAGAGGAGTGGTGAGTCGCGGATCGACATTTAAGCTGTCAAAATACTGAGCCCGCTGTGGCTCATTGTGGCGGTAATGATTATTATTTTCGACTTTAATTTCGGCCCAGCCGCGGCCGCGTGACCTTTTCACTCAGCCGTTTCATATATTTTTTAATTCGTTTCAGAAGCGGTTATCATCAAACGTCGATCTGGAATGGTGGCGGTGGCGGGCAAAACGAGGCTGCTACATCCGTTCTCTAAGGTCTTTGGCGACCACGCCTAGCTAAAATGGTTGCGATGCCTACGACTCGGACTATAATACACGCTACTGCGCATTCGAAGCGATTCATTTGGAGCTACTAAACGTCGAGTTTCAAACGCCCTTCTAAATATAGTGCGGCGACGTGTTTTTTACTCTGCCCCAACATTCTCAGCGAGTGAATACTTCATAAAAACGTCGGTTGATGAAAAAGGAAAGATTATGAACACAGTCAATATTGTAATAATAATATCTCGTACGTATTTTTCCCATTAACGTTAGTGAAATACTCGAACCGAGCGATATGAAATATTTATGATATTAAATGCCTGTAGGAAAATGCGTCCAGCGTTCCTTCAATATCTCTATGGACAGGTTTTCTTTATACGACTTTGTGAGATTTTGCGTATTTTTCTTTTTTGGTCAGAAATAAATTCATGAGCTTAATTTTCTCTTTTCCTGTGCCGTTAATAGTGTTGGAGAAGTATCAAAAACGATTATTTAAATACATACGTAAATGCTATAATTACTGTAATTTTTTTTCATAAGCAAATTTGGTTTTGAAAATGTCATATCCAATTTTGAACGCGTCGTAACTTCACGGAGATCCGAACGAGATACTCGCCTCCGGCCGACTTGATTGACGGGTTTTAATGATTTCGATGCGTTACTGTAATTCATACGCCTAAGACAAAAAGAAAAAAAATACCTTCCATAACTATCCAACACTAACTACTGGTTAAATTTTTGTTTGCGTAATCGATTACAGTCAATGGGTAACAAATTATGGTTTCTGTTTTGTAATGGATTCTTCTTATTAGCTAATGGACAGAACAGAAATATTTCATTACATTTGTCGTAAGATGAATACAGTTATACATACTCGTATCTAGTGTTAAGTGTTGAAAGAATAAAAACAATTATAATGAACTTAATTTCATAACCTGAGCATAAGTCAAAACATTTGTTAATTACTATTCATACCAGGTCCGTTTATTCACGGAAAACATTCAAAAAGTCGACTTTTATTGTACAGGAAACTCAAAGTCGCGACCGCAATGTCATGGAAGTAACCTAATTTTTGTGCAGTTTAAGACAAAAATGGGAAATAAAAAACTTGCTTCCATCATGAAAAACAAGGTTCAAACGTCTCCTTTTGTAGATTTCCGTACCCAAAAGGTAAAACGGCACCCTATTACTAAGACTCCGCTGTTTGTCTGTCTGTCTGTCTGCCACCAGGTTGTATTTCATGAACCGTGATAGTTAGACAGTTGAAATTTTCACAGATGATATATTTTTGTAGTATGTGTATGAGATAATATCTGTAAATTACTTTTACTGAAAATATAATCTCTCCAAAAAAATATTCAAGGACTAGAAGATAGGAGTTTTAGAACGAAATAAGTTATATCAAGAAATCTCTGACAGAAAGTAAACAGCAATGTTCAATACAATAAAACCTACATACCGGAAATGCACTTCAGAAAAGTCCATTTTCAGTGCTACTGAGTAATACTTGGCAATATAAGAAATTTAATACCATTTAATTCAGGAATACATTAACTTAGCAATCTCCGCCTGACTGTAATAACAGCATTAAAAACAACAAACAATAATATACCAACAGAATATAACACAATTTATCCGAGGGACCAAAATATGTGGTTATTTGCAATGTACCAAGTTTTATTTCATTGACATAAAGCAATGAAATATTGTATAAAACAATCTAATTTAACTTTACTCTCCAACCTATTATTTAAGCCTACTCGTAATATTTTATATTAGTCCATAATATTTGTAATTGTCCTTATAATCACTACTCTAATATTTTGCCACCATTTTGACAAACTAAAAGTATCAATAGTGTAACTTTTATCATTAAAAATCAAAATTCGAACAGCATGTTCCGGTAGCTACAATCGTAATCTACATACGATTGAAATCTATTTAATAAAAATGTTCGAGAAGAGAATACTAAAATGAAAAAAAAAAGAAATTACAGTTTCCCAAAGCTATCAACATATTATTAATATTCGCAAGAAATGAAAATAAAATTTCAACGTTAAAAATAATTCGTGTAATAGCCAGTTGGTGTGGCCGTGATACACTTACCAGACTTTTCTTCGAAGCTTATAAAGCAACGAAATATACCCCGCAAAATTTCTTACTTGACCATAAACGACTGTTGGTTGTAGAGGCCCTACCGGGGAAACTCGCGCGAATTAAAGTGGACATCTCGACGGGAACTCGAAAGCGCTTCAAGATTGAACCGATACTGTTTTCACGGCGAACTTTTCTCGAACGCCTTCGCGGTCGCAGCAATAAAGAAGAGTTACGACAGTGTTGATTTTAACATAATGAGCTCAGTAATTTCGGAACGGCACCTTATATTTTACGATACGCACTTATTACGCGGACCATAGTCAGCCTCCGCTTGATCACGACGCCTTTTCGGAAATTATGTGCTTCGAATTCCGACTTCATCGAGTTGATACTTAAATAAACAATTACTCTTCGCTGTACGCTTTTTGTGGCTCAGCGAGTGAGTAGGAAAACGAATGAAGCTATTCACTTTGTTGTTAATTAAATCGGCCAATTATTCACTAATCATTATTAACAAGTATAGAATAGAATCAAATACTTTAAAGATATTGTTACATTTATGTAATAGATGTCATTTTTCGATGTTAATAGAAATGGTTTTTAAATATTTGAAACATTTTTTAAAAAAAGATTTGTAAAAATAATTTGAAACTGAATATAAAAAATAACGATCAACTTTTCCACAAAATTTAATCTGCACGCTTTCAATTTTAACATCGATAAAATATTTTTAACATCGTGGTTCAGATTACGCAATATGATTCAGTATAAAAGACACAAACCATCAAACTTTATTTAAATTCTTTGATAGTTATTCCAAACGAATTTATCGTGTCTTAATTATTACGACTATATACTGAGTATTCAAACCTGGATCTTGGTGTTTTACGAGAAGCATTCCACAAGTTGGTAGTAAACAATGTTAATTGCGTCCGTGATTTCAGCCACAGCATATATTTCTTTTTATAAAATATTTTGTCTAACTAATCTGTTTTTATTCAATATTTAACAAAATTTCTTTCAATGTATAAAGAACTTCATTGACCATCGATTTGCTCATGTATTAGACATCAACGCAACGATATCGAGGGAAAAAAAGTTTAACAAATACTTAAAAATTATTAATAACATTAAAATTTAAGTAAACCTAAATACTCGTCGCCTGCCTTATTCAAATAAAAAATATGAACAAATTTTTCATTCATGTAGCCTGCGTTTAAACAGAGTTTACCAAGTTACCCGTTTTACTTCGTGCGATAGCGAAGTCAAAGACGCAAAACGGCGGGAAAATGTAAAAAAAAAGTACGCAGCAACCTCCATGCGCGGACGAGCGCACGGGGCGGTGTCGCATTCGCGACTAGCGCTATCGTTCAAGCCGCTGCCTGTACCGTTAGACAGAGAGAGCGAAACGGAGCCGTGCATTAAAGAGGGACGACAGCAGGCCCGCGCCCCGTCCGCGAGCCATCCGGAAGCCTCTGAAACTGGACCGTTTTCTTTTCTTGTTATTATTGAGATCGGCTCTCAAGTTCTGTTGTTGTCGCGCGGCGCGCAGTCCGCGCTGATAACGCGATGCCACACCGACCTGCGCGCGCGCACCACGCACCGCTCCGCAGCTTAAAGCTCACGCGGACTCGTTAGGACCACCCCTAGTGTTGGAATGGATTTACAAGTGATAGTGCCCGAAAAGTCGAGATGACACTGGTCTGTGAATAGGATAGCCGCGACAGGACACAGTGGTACCGAGGAAAGTGAAACCGAATTCTGTGCGGAAATCTGCAACCAGTCCAGGGGGATATTTTAATTGAACCATTTCAAATTATAAGTGTTTTACCATTGAGCTGAAACTGAACAGCAATATCGGTGGCCATACGGAAATTTTTCAATAAATAAAAGGTAGGTTGTATCATTTTTTAAAACGTTTTCGTTTATTTGCAATTCAAGATCGCTTTAGTTGTTTTTATTTTCCGCCTTCAAAATAATCCCTTAAAAATAAGAAAATAGAAAATTTATCACTTAGATGATTTTAAGTAGGTAGCAAATTAAATTTAAACTCTTTTTTTTTAACAAAGTATTACTTGGACTGATAGCATCATTGGTAAACTTTTATTGTTAAAAACTTACTATCAAAATAAATTGATTTGTTAGTTATCCGAAAACTGAAGCAGAATTATTAAATTTGTATAAGATAATAGAATAATTGAGATTCACTTAATTCTTTACTCCAAATTCACCAATTATGCTAATAACATCCATAAATTAGCAACGATTATAAAACGAATGAATACTTCATTCGCACATTTTATTACTTTTTCCGATTTCTTACAACGAAATAAAGTTAATGTTTTTATTTTTTCATATTTCCTTTAAAAAAATTAATATTAACTTAAGCTATGCGCTTAAGGTCCTTTGATGTACGGTAAAGTAAATACGCACTGCCTGTCGCACGGCATTGTGATTTAATACCCGAGCCCTCGACAATGTGAAACCTTTCTGCCCCTTAACCTTGGTAGAGGCTTAATAAGAGCGAAAAACAAAAGTGAAGGGTACAGTTTCACCGCAATTTTCACTCGTAACAATCGAATAAATAAAAAATAAAATAAACAAGATTATTCGACCTAGTAAACCAGAAAGTGAGTTACGCTATAGCGCCCGCCGCCGGCCGACGGATAATTATTTTTTGCTCGACTTTTATCTATTGTGGCTCAACTGAATTCGATCGGGATGTACCCTAGTTAGTGAATTCCAGCTACCTTTTTTATTAAATGTAAGAAACGCTCCAGTCGGACGAAATGTCATTTTATATTCTAAGGCATTAGTTGTTTTTTCGCAGTAAGTCAGACATTTATCGTTTATTGCAAAAAATTTTTTGTAACTTAAATTTAATTTTCCAACTCATATTATCGGAATTTACTACGAAATTAAGAAATTGGAATCAACGTAGTTTATAGTAGCATTATTTCTTTATTATTAAAAAGGATATTTCATTCATTAGTAATATTAAAACTTAAATAATGTTATTAGATGACTTTTATTGAATTACAATTATGGAAACCAACTTAACAACGGACAATACAATCACGTAAATAATTCAAAATAAGCTTTAACTAAGTTATCATTAGAAAACCGTCTAAAACGATCATTTAAACAGCATTTTCAAAATGTCACTCATATTAGAAAGTGCATAGAGTTTACGACGTAACTACGATGCGTAGAAGAAAAAAACCTACACGAGCCTAATAAGAGTAGGCTTATCGCGGATCAGACGTATACGAAGTCAATTAAGATCTGCCGAAGTGCGTGCTACTCCTTTTTGTGCCGTTACCGACACTTGCGTTTTTGATTCGGAGCCACAACGGCCAGATCACAATCGTCCGTTCGCCGTCAAAAGTCAATCACATTCGTTTTCTTGTTGTAGTCTCCGTTTCGCGGGCAGACGGAGATCGTGTCGCCGTAATAGAGAAAAGCGACATCGCCCCGCTCCGAACTGCCGTGTCATCTCTGTTATTATAAAATGAAATAAAAAAAAATTAAAAATAAAGAACAATTAGACATTTCGCTTTCACTGCTATTGCAGAATAGGTGCGTAGAGTTAGGTAACTGACAGACTTGCCCGCTCTCATATCGAACAGGTGTCGCGACAACTTTCCGGTTTTTTTTCCTCGACTTTGCTATGGGAATTTTTATTAAGCTACCGTATCAATATTCGCCATAACTAGATTTCAAGGAATATTCAAATAAAAAGGCACAAATCTTCTCTTTTAAAAAGTTCATCTTACGTTGATTTTATTAAAGTATTATAGGACACGTAAAAAGCTTTGCATAGCCCTTATGTACACTGCCGATTTTTTTTTTAAGTAATAACAATGACATCACGCAATTCCTTTGTCACACTTTCACCAAATATTACCTTTTATGCAAACTAAAATATTAATAAAAATATGTATGTACTTAAGTACAAACGTAAAAAGTTATATTTCTTTAGCGTAACAAAAGAAAAATAACTAAAAATTGTTTCGCCCGTACCAGTACTCTTTGTTGGTGAAAAAGAAATTAAATACAATTGATAACGGTTGAGTTAAATAGGTTGGACTTAAGTTGGATTGCAAAAAAATATTGCTTGCCATGGTAATAGCATGAAGTTGGTCGCTTTGCAAGCAACTTTATCATTTCGGTTTCATTGTAAAAATTTTACCCTTATAATTTGTTTCGAAACGCGCCAAAAGGAGCATAACTTTAAAAATTAAATAGTTATCGAAATATTTCGACTAAAAATAAACATATATAAAATATGCATCTCAAATAGAAGGATAATAATTAACTAATTCATAATGTAACTAAAATTTGACTGACTTAATATATTGCACAGTTTGTAAATGATAACCTCATCTCAGTAAGCAAAGTATTATAGTCCAATTAATTCAGACACGTATTAATGAATCCAGAGTTTGCTGGTGCCACAAAATTATCGGGGGTAGGTGTGACGACAAATGGATAACAAAACGAGCTCTCTTGCCATGCGTTAAATTTACATATAATTGCAGTTCACTACTAATTACCTGCGAGGCTCCGACGTCGCGAAGCTTACTTTTCTAACACAGGTTACACTACACGCAAAGCAAGCGAATATAATGATTTTGGTTTACAAATTAGCTATGTGTGCGTTCATTACCTTCTTTTTTAACGGTTTACGAATTTTAATTATTTTTACAAGAAAAATACAGAAAACATTTAATTTCATTTCTTCGAATTTTTTGTAACAACTATAATACTTAATCAACATTTGTCTGTCAACATCAATTGTTGATTAAGTAAAACATGTGTATAACAAAATAAATTAATTCATAACAAAAATAAAAAAAATTACGTTTGTACAATTTATACTTAATATTAATAAAATCATATAACATATTCACGCGATTTAGTATGATTTTGCATATTTAATCGCACTTTAAAACAACAGATTATTGCAAACTTATTCTTTCATTGAAGCTGCAACGCGATATTATTACCATTTGCGACAGCAAGCCGTAAAACAAAAAGCGAAAAAATATCAATTGCCTGTCGCTAGGACAGTAGAACAAATGTTTTTCGTCTGCTGCATCAGACATATGAGTTGCGATGCAATAAATAAATTCGAAACATCAAGGGGTGAATTTGTGAATCGCAGTAGATCACCGCAATCGATATTCGATCAGAAAGCGAAACATTATCGTTGTGAACAAAGTCTGAAATCGCGTGCAGGGTGACTCCGCAGACACGACAACTGCTCAAAGAGCATTTCAGACATAGACGGAGATCGCTAATAAAAATTCAAGGAAATTCCAAATAGTCTGCATTCAAGTACATAGCTCGAGATGAAATTCAGATTGTAAAAAATGCACAGACGGCGATGTGGACGGTGTCGCATAATTTTTAGATTCATTTTCATAATGTGCAGTCAAATGGTTGAGGTCATCGTAGAAAATATCCATACAGATATCGCATGCGAATCCAGTTATAGTACATCTACATTATTAGGGGCAATCATTAACTGTCTGCGACGATCTATAAGAGAGGACCATTTTGAACCGTGGAACATTTTGAGCGTCCGTGTTTCTTATTCGTGTCATTTTAACAATCAACCGGCGAATATTTACTGTGACGCGACATGCCGTAAAACCTTATTTTTAAAACAAATGAATGACTCGTTTTATATTACCTCAGTTTTTGCGTATGAGACAAACAGACGAAAATCACAACTAAAGCAAAACATCGGTGTAAAGCGTTTCGTGGATTTTTTTTTCTTAACAAAATCTTAGTAATAAAAGTTGTTTGCCGTTTCGTCCCGTTGAGGCAGGTCGTTGGAAATTCTTTCATCGAAGTCACGCCATTTATCGGCGAATGTTCTCACCGTTAAAAGTCTGTTACTGCTATTTAAATGGAACATATACCACTTCGCCTTAACAGATGCCAAAGATACTTAGAATAGATTATAACACAGAGAAACTGCTCCATCCGCTCTGAGAACAGTAGATGTACTGATAAGCGATCACTTTAAAGTATTTCATTTATAACAGTTTTATTGGACACATTGGTACACCAAGAAGTACATTTAATAAGATACGTTTATTTAATAATTATTTCATCATAATAATCACGATACAATTATATAAAGAAAAAAGATAAATGGCTAAAATTCCGATTTTATAAAAACATCATAATGAGTTATCGCTCGATCATAATACGCGTTAAACCTGTGAGAACGCACTAGAAAGCCTGCGTTATCTCCGAACGAGCGAGTTAAGATGGTTATCCGAAATGCTAGATGAATCCTAAATCATATTAACGACCCTTATGACGTACGCTACCAAAACTGCCGACTTGAACGTATCACGTATACGATCTGAGTTATTTTGCCCAAAGACCTAGTTTACTTGGGCCCATACTGTTCGCTCACACGTGTTTCAACTGCTAAAAAAAATATGGCTTTCATTATCTCAATACACGTCTTCCACGGAGGGCGGTTGCGTAAGTAACTTAAGTTTACCGCCGAGATGGCAATCGAGTGCATGGGAAGCCGATTGTTCTTCACACAAAACACGTTCGCACACATGAATGCCATCTTTTGAGCCTATA